AACACACACACTTTTTCTCCTGACACAGCTATATAGACTAGCTGTTTCACAGCTAGTCTAAACAGCTTCGTGCAGCTCAGATACTCATTGCCACTGAAACAGAACTGCTGATAGGATCTTGGGACTATTACTGCATCTGACAATTTATATTACTTGCTACCATTACTGTCACTGCAGAAACCAAAGTGCGAATGCAGCTCATGCAGTATGAAGTATTGCGACTGGGATACATGATGGAGTTTGGGTAGTTACTGGTGTGATGGTGTGTATGAGACCCCTCCTAGGTCATTGTCTTGTATCTCCGCTCTGGTGCTGTTGCACGTGATCTCTACAAAAGGAGAACGGCCTTAATGAATGTCATTAAATATTAATAGCAGATCAATTAATCACACTGTACCATACAAGTCGGCAGTGGTGTAGTCAACACGGTGGTTAACAGCTGAGGGGAATCCATTTTAACTTTTGCTTTACTATTGCTGTGAGGGTTCATTATGTTCATTGCTAGTGGTTAAAAAAAAAAAATCTCGTTCCCATAATCCAACTCAATAATGCTGTCTGAAGCTGTTGTGAACATAACACTGACATACCATCTCCTTTTAAGTTGTTTTCTGTTTATTTAAGTTCAATATCCACTCTTGTTTAGCTCTGTTTTTGGTATTAGCTCCTGAGGGAAATATCCGGCTCTTTTTTTCTGCTAAATGCCCCACTGTGTTCACCAGCAAGCTGCTAACTGTGTCTGCCATTTAGTGCTAAGAAGGCAGTGTACATTGTGCCAATCCACAGTTTGAGTAGTGCCTCCAAGGACTAGGAAACTGATCTTGATCTTGTGTAAAATCAGTAGAAATCCCCTTTAAGGCAAACCAGAAGACATTGTAAGAGGACCAGTCACTGTCATTCACAAGTATTGCAACATGACAGATTCTTTCAGGAAGATAACCTGAATAGGACTGTGTATAAAATCCATATTCTGCCTTTTCTTCAGCTTTACTGTGCCTTGCTTCTCGCCATCGCTGAAGCAGTTACTACATTATGGTCGCCAGCAAAACAACAAGCTGATTGTAGCTCATTAAAAATCAGAAAAAACAAAAACAAATCTCTCTCACCCACATTCTACTGTTCTCTAGTGGATTTCTTGTATGAGAGAATTCCTTTCATTTATGAATGGTTGAAACTGTTATAATGCACTCTTATTGAACTACTAGCTTTTTTTGCCTCGTGCAGTAAGGAGAACACAAAAGACCAGGCAGTGAAAGCCAACAGCTAGTTCCACTGTGATCAATGGTAAACGGATGCTTGCAATGGATCCATTACCAAGAGGCATGGGCTTACTCATACTGCAATTTGTTACCTGGGAATAGATTACATACTGGTGAGGCTGGCCTCAGGGAAAAGGGACTGGGAAAGCCTGATTTTCTCCTTAATGCATGGCTTTATTATTGAGCCTTATACTGTTGGGCTGATGGAACACGTAAATAAGAAAGGGGGAAGTCTATAAGGAGGAAGTAGAAGCAAGAAGGAAAGAAAGAAAAAATAATGGCACATCATTTATCTTCATTCCACAAGGTAATTTCCACCTCTTCCTTCATATTTTGGTAGAGCAACGAGGTATAATTGGTGAAAACAATGTCAGCAGCTCACTTTCTCTCACTCCATGCTTACAAAATAAGTTTACACCTTCTAAGGTTATTTTTTTCCCCAGAGTAAGCAAAGGCAGAGACAGGCGTGGGCACAGGGAGGGATGATTTGCAGAGGGACGGTGAGAGAAAGGCCAGGTATTGGAGTCAAGTACAGAAAGAGAAATGAGTGACAGCAGGCAGAGAGGGTAAGAAGTAAAGGAGGGAGGGAGTTCACAATGGCAAAAAAAGTGAACTCACCTTGCCACCATTGGCAAGCAGATTCAGATTTATTGTTAAGTTGGGATATCTAAAGGTGCAGGTATTGATCCGACAACCACTTATGAATTACAATACGCCTTTATATGCCTTCTGTTACATTCAGGACAAAAGAAACAACTGCAGCCTGACTTTCAATTGAATCAATTTGGCCTTCAATTTGATTCACTGTCTATTTGCTCCTTCAGCATTTAAAACTAAAATATTTTCTGAGAAATGGATGTAGTCGCTCTGTTTCTATGGAGATATTTTATACAGTTCCAGCAGGGGTGGAGGTAAAACAAAGGGTAAATGCTACCTGCACATGCTACCTGCTAAATGCACATTCCCTGGAGTATTCACACAGCTTCCACAGCTTCCACAAGTTACTTTTGTCAGTTTTGGGATGATTTGTTTTTATCCACCACTGAATCATAGTATCCTCTGGTGAGCACTGCACACAGTGCTCCACCACCCACTCATGCTAGGTTGGTATGAAAACAAACAAACCCTCCTCTGCACTCAACCCAGTCAAAGCATTGTCTGATGTCGATTCTGTCAGACAGACAGATAAAACATGAATGACATCACAAGTAAGCCGCAATTAGTCCTTATGTGCAGCTGAAGTTTAGTTTTCGTTGTAGTATCTTAGATGGTTGACAGTCTTCCTTCTCTTTATTGAGCAGCATAGCCCTGTTTCCAGGTGCAATTTAAACCTGAGAGGTTGCAATTGTTTGTTCCTTGATCTGTCTGTATCCCCCAAGCAGCACGCCACACTCACCACCATGTCAGGACAACACACACACACACACACACACACACACTTGAGACAGAGGACTAATTTGCACTCAATTTTCAGCCACCTCTCTGCGAGACAGCCAAGGCCACTCAGATTATGCCCATAAGTGCCGGTGTGTGTAAAAAACATGATCCTAGCTGATAAACCAGGAATAGATTTTCTTTTAGTTTTTCAGTAGTCTTTTAAAACGGTGACTCAGGATGTTTTACTGAATGAACAGCCTGCAGAAAAGATGTCACACTGTACTAAGACCAAGTGGATCATGCACTGTAGGTGTGTGCGTGTGTGTGTGAAGTCAAAAAAACTGGTTTGAATATGTTGCAGATGCTGAAAAGATATTTACTGGCTTAAGTAGAAAACAATAACCATTTGACCTTGAATTTTGACCCCCTGGCCTGTTGTAACCATAAATAAACTGTATAAATAAAAATGGAGTTAGATTTATTAAGAGCTTGTTTAGAAGGTTAAGGTCGGCTTTGGCCGTAACTATGATGGCAGTCCTGACTTCGCCGGCTCACAGCTAATCCAAAAATCAAATGAAAAAAGCCATCTGTGACAGCACCTACAACAGGTATGGACATGCCCTTAATTATGCATCATTTTAAGTCTTAATATTATTCAAACGGGTGAGAGACCAAAGGCACTTCCATGTTGGCTTCATTTGTCATCCATGGAGGTTGTCACTCGCTTGTAACACTGCTTCGTAAGAGGCCTGTCTGATCTTGCATGTTTCTGACATGTTGACAGCATGTCCATCCTGGATAGTGGCACATTTCTAATTTGTCTATTTTTAACTAGTTAGAAAAGGCCAACAGCAGTGAAGATTTTCCATGTTTTAGGTCCTTATCTCACCTAATGCATAGCAACAAAACAGTAAAATTACCTCAGATGAAATTCAAGCTGTCCCCATCTGGTGCTTGACTCCACTGCCCACACAGCTGTAGCCCTGACAGCACATACTGTATAGAGAGTAGCAGCCTCTCACTCAGCAGAGGCTCACACTATATGGCACTATATGACACACTTGCCAATTTCAATTTTCAAGATCAGAGCAGAAACAGCACATTGCCAGCATTACTGGAAGGGTGACATGTGATGGAACTAGCGCACCTTGAAAAAATTATTACTAACCTGTTCATACATGTGAGTTCCTATTCTATTCCTTTTTCGTGTTTGCTTCTCCAGTATGATAGGTAGCCTACATGCAATGAAATACAAGCAGTATAAGTCACCAGTGCTTGTTGCACACATGGAGAAGTGTTGGTTTTTAATGAAATTCACAGTGAAATGCCCCCAAGTAACAAAGGTGTACAAAGTGTTAATGGTATTTAAACACATTCCCATCTGTCTCTTTGTACCTAATCTGTGTTTGCAGCAGGAAAAGGAAATAAATCATCATCATATCATTAGATGATAAACAAGATTTACAAGTGTTGATCTCACTCCTGCTTGTTTGTATTTTTGACCTAATTTCTTGCTTTAAATTGTCTAAATGATATCTCTGATGAATGATTGCAACATATGTTTGTTACAGCCTGTGTTTAAAAATTGCTGTAGCCACCCGGCATGCATTTATGTTCATCACTTACCTACAGCTCTGTCATATAGTACATACATTCCTAATTATAAAGTGTAGCACAAACAAGAGGTATGCCTATTGACCTATTTACAGTAAACATAAATAAATAATAGGATGTGGAAGTCAGCATTAATCAGCCACCAACCTGAGCTTTAAACAATGAAAGCAATGCCAAAAGAGTGTCATTTTGGTGCCAAAATGGAAAGAAGGAAAAAATGCAGAGTGGCACCTCTAAAAGCTTCACTACAAAATCCATTTATTGCTTTCAATAAAAAGCAATACTTGGATACGTGAGTTACAGTAGGCCTTTTGTGCCAAAATGAGAAGAGGGAAAAATACAGGGTGGATGTCAGATAGAGAAAGTGAGAGAGTGAGCTAATGGCACTTAGATGGCTCAGGCTTACCTATGTTAATCATTTGCTCACTGAATTCAACCAGGACAGCCAACAAGACACAGTGAGGAATGTTTTCAAATGTATAGCTCAGCTTTTTTAGGTTAAGCAGCATTATCCAGCAAGCAATGAATGTATTTGTACCATACAGATACATATACAGATAATGTATATCTATAGGCCAAGTGTGGAAAGAGAATCAAGCAGCATTTTCTTCTTCTATTTTTCTGTGACATTTTTTAAGTAGGCTCGTGCACTGCCACTCATTTTTTTAGCCGCCCTATATTATTAAAAAGTCCTAATTAAGTGATTTTCGTTGGCTATACTCTAATAACAAATATAATGCATTCTTCAAACTTCTTTATATTGATATATGGATTAGTTGGATTACATCTAATACTAATCCAACAAAAATATGTCCATACAATCCAAATTTGTCTGTTGTCTGTCTTTTGCTATTAACTCTCCCAAGAAGTAGAGATGACGGCTAATAGAAAGTGACAGAACAGAATCAAAATAGATGGAAATAGTTGCTGGTCATGACTCACACCTCATTCATTTTTAAGCAAGATGAAATTGTGTATTGGGTGCAGGGATGTTTGAATGAGTGTAACTGGGCTACAGCTGCTCTGCATGAATGTGGGTTAGTTCGCACTAAACACGATTGTTTAAACAGAGCAATAAAAATCACTGCTCAAAGCCAGAGCATTTTCAGACAAGATAGGATGTTTAAAAACAGATATTTGAGATGTAAAATATGTCTTAAACACACATGAGAAGGGAGATTTGTAGGATTGTAGAAAAGGTTTTTTCACCCAAAACAGTTTTTATTCAAGCACAGTTTCAGCTATAACTGTTACACTGAATTTCCTCAGCTACCAAACGCTACTGAGTCCAATACATCACACAAAGTGTTTTCAACTAA